GTTTGATGTCCCTGTCATCTAGACGTATCTATTTAGACTTAATTTTTTATATTCAAATGCCTGCATAGTTATTATGACCTCGAAATTTCTAATTATCTGCAATTTTATGATTCTGAGTATGAACCCTATAATTTATGGAACACTGAACTAACTTTTAAAACTAACTATGCAAGAACAGAATTATTTAGGTCGTCTTTTTTTCCCAGAGTTGTGTACCGAATTTGTGGGGTACACTCTAACTCGCGTATTCGAAAATTGTCATTCACAAATCTTGTTTTATTCTCCTCGTCGTTTCACAACGTCTCTCTTAATTTCTGCTCTCACACACACACAAACTAATTTCATCATCTCCCACGCGTCTCCTGTTACAACCTCGTGATCTAGCCTACACGTGCTTACGCAACTTTCGCATTGCGTCATCTCTAAAAGCGTCTCCTGTGTGCTTACGCAACTTTCGTTCAGTTGCTCGTCTTTGGAACAATTTACCTATATCTATTAGGAGAGGGGAATCACTTTCTATGTTCAAAAATGACCTAAGACTCAACTTTTTTGCTATTGATAGCAGTGATTTAATGTAATTGTTATTTCATTTTAGTTAGCACTAAGTTTTAACATATAGCATACTCGTTTTATGATACTGCCTGTCATTGTGCATACTTTATTTATGTTCTCGTTTTCATATTTAACAAATGGTGAACGCCATAGCGTGTACTATTGAGTTATGGATGCACGCGGGAGGTTGCTAAGCACGAAAGAAGCGTAAGAGTCGCACGAGGCAATAGCCGAGTGCGACTCTAGCTTCTTGAGTGCTTAGCAACCCTCCCAAGTGCATCCATAACTCAATTGTGCAAGCTATCGCATTCACCATTTGTTTTACAACATAACATTGAGACATTGAAAGAACAGAAGTCCTTTTATTGAGCTACATCGCAAAAAAATGTTCGTGTAGTCTTACATGACAAGAGAAAACAAGCGTGCGAAAATTCATTCATAACAACTAACTGCACACCAGCAACTCGATAAAGTTTAATCACGCTTCCTGAAATACCGACCAAAATCCTCTTTATAAGCTCTGTATCCAACAACCGTTGAAAGAGTTCAGCATAACTATGAACAAACTGTGGTGTTTACCTTTTGTTTTATTTACATAACATTGAAACATTGTAACAAGAGTTCCCTTTTATTTAACAAATCTTACGTGATCAGAAAAAACAAGCGCGCGCGGAAAAATAGTCTTAGCATTTGCTGACGTCAGCAGCATACACCCACGGGTAAAAAGTAGATGCTGAATTAACCAATCAGAGCGCGTGCTTTCCTTTAGTTATGTTATATATATAGTTTCTGGTGGCCTTTATCATTAGGGAAGTTCATTTCTGTTGCTAGGTCTTCCAACAGCTATTTAATTATATGTTTGTATGTACATATATCTATTTGCTGTAAATTAATTAAAGTAAAGTAAAGTTCCTAACTCCTGGGCAAGTTATCTAAAGAGATCTAGGAAGTAGTTGTCATTATTATCTCTTTATATTAAGGAAACTGAACCATCCTCTGTGAATATCTTAACTGATTGAAATTTTTTAAAAAACACGTTTAAAGGATGAAAACAGTCTTCTTAAGTTCACTTATTAAATTCATTAATCTTTCGGAACTTTCGCTAAGCTAAAGTATTGAGGATTTTTCTTTTTTCGAAGAGAGTGTTAGTAGTGTTAGGAAATTAAATGTTTTAGACGAGTGTCCTGTCTATTCCTTAAAAACCTACTCACTAGTATCAACAAACAAGATATCCAAAGCGACATGGGAATACATTTTTCACTTGAGTTAACTCCATGCAATCGCGTTCGTGATACTCTGACTTATTACCTTAGTGTTCAGCCTTGAGTCCAGAACAAGGATTCAATCGAGAACCTATATCCAAGGGGCAAAAAACATTTGCAATACCTTTCTGCTCTCAAGTCGGAATATATAGGGAAAGAAATAAACATACCTAGTCTCACTGTGTTTGAATAGCTTTCGTAACCCTACTCCATGGATAACTTTTCACTCGCGTGACGGGTCCACTTTGAAAGAAATATTCTCACTCATCGTTCAAAATTGAGCTTTACCACTTCTCTTTAAAATGTTTTGATCATTTCTATTCGTCCAAAAGAAAAGAGAAAACAGCAAGAAGGACAAGTAGAAGTCTGGCTGCCTAATCATGGAAGGAGAAACTGTGATGCGCGTTAAAATTCTTGGAATCCTGAATAATCGTGACACCCATTTTCAAGAATCGACGAATATTGTGTTTTCTTGTCCGAGGTTAAAATTAAGGTATCTCATGATACATACGAACACAAAAATACTGCTCCGTTGTTGGAACCAAAGTGGCACAATGATTGAGGACTTCCTCGTCGTAAATCGTTGAAGGTGCTGTAAGTGTGAAATCGAAATGGCATAAACCTGTTTTAATTACTACTTCCTATTTAGTCGCACTAATTTAACACTCTGCATTCGACTCATTGTATTCAAATCTTCAAGCAGGTTTTGTTAAGTACGTGACGATGGTGTAGATTTTGGCCTATGTTTACATGCTACGGATTTGACAAATGTTCGTTCCGTTTGGTCTCCGTTAGCTCAAAATTGATTTTACTTTCCCATCAAGTTCGGGATTGAAGAAAGAAACATTGAAGAAAGAAACAACAACAGGCTATGCTTTCTTGGATGATTACTACTGTTGACAACGAAAGTACAATTCTTACAGGAATTCGACGAACAAAATCATAGCCACGATTTCTTGAAATTTTGACATTTGAATTGTTTTCTAGCCCTAATGTCGCCCTGATGCAGCCGCATAATGTCTCCTGACCGCAAAGAAAAATATATCTCTCAAATAGTTGGTGTTCTCGCCCTTCCCTTAAATTATAATCCGTATATTTATTTGTCGGTCTAAGAGGTGTTACGGAAATGTTTCAGTTTGTTTAATGTTTTGTCCACTACCATTTCTCGATGAGCAACTCACAAAAGCTTTTCGCCCAGGAAATACAGGGAATCTTTCCATCATATTCTATTTAGAAATGAGCCCAGTTCAGAAAATTAAACGTGTTTTTCTTTTCCGGCTTTGGGAGAAGAGGAACTTTTGTTACCTTGAGTGAGTGACGGGTAGGTTCCATCGACACTGACCCATGCACGGAATAATTATTAAAGAGTTCTGTCAAGTTTACTTACCTTCTTTGATTGCACAGAATGAACTTTAAAAATCTAGGAAAACTGTGAAAGCCAGAATTGGAAACCTAACTTTTATTTCCACGAGCTAAATGAAAATGAAAGGTGCTTAGGTGGTTGATTAATTTGTCGATTGTCGGTCACATGAGCATGTCACGCGACCCAAACAGTCCACGCTCGCTAGTCTTAGGTCGACCAACTATACATATAATGAAAAGAACTTTAAATACTGCCAAACTTCAGGTTTTAAGGTTTTTTCCCCGGAATCAAAACGTACTCTCTTACATTTAACTAACTTCCTGTATAACAGAAAACCACAAGTTTATTCCCTGACCCCTTGAGATAGAAAGAGTTGAGTTATATCACCTTTCCGTCTTTTTTCTTAGAAAGACCGCAAAAAAAATTAACATACTTCCAATTATATGTTTTCTGAGCTTTTTTTTCTTTCAGTTTATTTCGCCTCATACATAAACAGCGATGAATGATAAAAAGATGAAGAACTTCTGTTCTGGACGTATGACCTCCAATCTAAATCACACTTAAGGAGTGGAAAAGCCAACAGGAACAAGAAAGTCGTTCGTGATACTCCAAGAAAACTAGCAACAATATACATTTTAGTGATTTTACCGTATTTCTGCGTCTTAAACTTCAGCATTCAGAGTTTATGTTTAAAATATTCCGTTTCATTTTTTCCTTCCGAGATTGGCACACTTATTTCAAAACAAAATTACATGGTTCTAGTTCTAAACAAGAATTAATTTCAAGTGAAGATCCATACCTCTCGGCATGCCTTAACGTAAGTTTGACTTTATCTGACCAAAGCTTTAATAAAGAAGCATTCTTCCAATATTTTCGCACTTTTTTAAAGCTCTACTTTGTTTAGTAGTTCGCAGAAATGCAGGAGTTTCAAGAACTTTTTCCATAAGCGGCTGCCGATGGGGTAATTTAGTGGCATCTGTGCCCGGAAAGAGGGCCATAAGGTGAAACCCAAACACGAGAACCTGCTCACAGGCTCATCAAACGGCGATAAGGAGGTCTTTTAGGGTCTTATAGCCGGTGGAAGACCCCTAGTAACAGGTTTCTATTGAGACCCCTGGAAATTCTCAAAGTTTTTAGGCAGCATTCTGTGAACTGTTTTGACGCATTTTAAGGAGATTCCCAGAAAAACGAAATATAATCACAGCGTAAATGATCAGCTACCGTGACAAGGCAGTAGAGATGATCGAATACTTTTCGAGAAAAATCTTGTTGTGATCGAAAAGGTTGCGATTTATGAATCAATCAAATTTTTAAAAAAAACTAATTTTTTCCCGATATAGATTTAATACGTGTTAAAGGGTAACTAGCAAATACTAAATGTAATAAATATAGTACTTCTAGGGTACAATGTATGCTTCCGTCTCCGAATGAACCGGAAGTCTTGAAATCTTTAAAACCATTACGTGCACATTTTCCAAGAAAACCATGTATGAAGTGATTTTGGCTTTTAATTTCACTGATATTCGCTCTTTCTTAACAAACAAACTGTAAGGTTTGGATCATTTTAGGGCGGAAATAGTTTGGTTTCATTCCACATAATCACAATGCACTGATAGCCAACAGAAAAGATAAGCACGCTTCAAAGTTTTGCACTTTAAAGTCACATTAATATGTAATAGGAAAGAGTAGCCATTTTCTCGGCTAATCGATGTGGCTAAAATCTTGGATCGTCTTTAATGGTCAAAAGCTAGAAATGCACAACTTTTGACTCGATACGATTGCATTCAGTCTTTTAAATTTTATCCATAAATGCAATTTTGAAGTTGGCACTGGTCACAATCGCGCAGCCTGTCGCTGTGAACTGCGGCTCTTGTTATTACTAGATATCCTTCAGAAGCATCCGGAGTCTGGTTTAGCTTTAGAGGTCGACACCTCACTTCATTGATAGTCTGTCTGATCGCCATCTGGGTGAAGGTAGTCGACTTGTAAGGACTTTTGTCGGTAGTACTAACTGACGTTTCGACAACCCGAGCGGAACACATCATTTAAGTCGAGTGGAGAGTTTTGGTCGTCAGTCGAGTGTTCACTGGCTCAAATAATTTAATTTTATCAACAGAGTTGATGAAAAGTTTCTGAAGCTGGTATTTCAAGCGTTAGCCCTTCGCCAGATTGAATGCTGAGGCCTATATTTGCAAAAATATCTTCGAGAAGTGTTGAGACGTTTTAGTCTCATTAGCTCAAAGTGAATTGTAGCGAAATGTAACATAAAATTCCTCTAGGAAGAACTTCAAGACAATTGACTGAACGCAAAGTGATTTCTGCGAAAGACTTTTCCTGAGATGATGATTACATTTTGAAAACGAGAACAGAAATGGCGAACAAAATCATAGGCACGATGCTTTGAAATTTTGTCGTTCGATTTTTTTTATGGTTTTTATTTTTATTAGCCGTTCAGATGAAGCCAAATAACGTGTTCTGAACTTAACGGAAATATTTCGTGTGTGAATAGGTGTTGCACTTACCCCTCTTTTTTTAATTTAGATCTGTACTTGTATCCGTATCTGTCGAACTAAGAGGTGTTACGGAAGAGTTTCGGTTTGTTCAGTGATTTGTCAACTAAGACTTATAGTGGAGCAACTCAAGGAAACATTTTCCCCAGGATGTACAGTAAATCCTTTGTCATTTTTTACTTAGAAATTAGCTCAGTGCAAGAACTTAATCCTGTTTTTACTTCAAGTTCTCCTTGAGAGACGAAGAGGAACTGACGGCCACGAGCGGAAGGCAAGTAACAATTAGATTTAGGAAACCGAGTCACTATCAGGACATTGACCTACAGAAAAATGATCTAAAAGTTCTCTTAACCCTACACTTACCGTTTCTTGTTCGTATAGAATTAGTTGTGAAGAACTATTTGACGTACTGAGAAAGCTGGGAGAAAACACCTACCTTTTATTCCAATATTGCAACTAAACCAAAAATGCTTCGCTGGTATATTGTGCCTATCGTCACATGATTGGCTACGTTCGTCACGCGAATTGAACAGCAGGACGGAGAGAGCTTCCCAACCTCTCTTCCCTGTTTAACAACCCCTAAACCTCAGCCTTGGGCTTGCTAAAGAGAGCTAGAGGGATTTTTTCTCGTATCATAAAACTGAAGAACATTAAATACTTCCCAATAGCCGGTACTAATTCCTTCCACGCAACTTACAAATTGAATAACAGAAAAACAAATGCTAATTCATGCACCTCAAATAAAGGAAGAGTCGATTTATCATTTACATTCACCATCAGCTATTTTTGTCTATTGCTCTTAACGTTATAGATGCAGACTGGAGATTACATAAATTTCATCGCTAAACGAAAACAATGAACCTGCAGTGGCCTGTATTTTTATGATTTCCAAGAAAGACCGGACGACATCAACAACAAAGAATACAAACTGACATGAAAAAAACACTGCTTGAAATACTTCATTTTCCACTCAAATCTATTTCCAATCGGTGATACTTCACTTTATCACTATTTTTTTTATGAAAAAGCTTTATTACTAAAGCTAAACCAGTGCCTCGGCCGGACCAACACTCAAGGTCATAAAATAACTTAAAATAACTGAGAAGAATATGCTTCCTTTCTGTAACATCTAGAAATGGTTAGATATTCTAGTCTTCTCGGATAGGGACGAATAAATGGAGGTCCCGTCTCCTGCAGGAGACGTTAATTTCTCACGCACGAGTATACTGTGTGATGGATGTCCTCCCCTGGGGTGGGTTGGGTGGGTGCTTACAGGGCCGTTCTGAAAACCACTTCTGTGAGAACGCACCCTGTCTAAAGATTATTATCTATCTATCTATCTATCTATCTATCTATCTATCTATCTATCTATCTATTTATTGCTCATCTCAAACTGCTTTTGATTTGGAAGCCAAATTAAATGAAGACTTAAATCACGGTTAAAGACTGATTAAATAAGCATAGACTTACCCTTAATATCAAAAAGTCAAAGCTAATACTGATTGGTGGTCAAAAGAGACTCGTGACTGAAGCTATTGGGACAAGTAAACCTGAACATTAATGATGAGAACATTGAACGAACTGGGCATTACAAATATTTAGGAGTTGGGATTAATGAAAATCTTGCCTGGTCTGACCACGTTGACTTAATATGCAGCAAAGTCTCAAAACGCTTAGGAATGATAAAACGTATTAAGCACTTACTACCTAATAAATCTAGGGAGATTATTTTTAATACAATTGTTCTACCAATTTTTGATTACGCTGGCGTGGTGTGGGGTGATAGGTGTAATTGCATCCTTATGAACAGACT